GTGAGGCCCAAAGGGCTATTAGTCTCATCAAATTGGCATTTTGCGTCTTTCACTTTCGGATCTGATTCACTTTTCAAACTGTTGCCAGAAAATATTATCGGCATGTATTATATTTAAAGAAAATAAATAATGGAGAATCCGCAGGAATGTTTGAATGTTTCTCGCACTGTGGAAAAACAACGGTACCTAGAGCCATTCAATTTTGAATAACATTGTCTTCCAACAGAACATGGGCACTCGGAAGCCCGAATTTTGAATTTCTAATTTGTTTTATTATCTATTTCAAATTTTGTAAACCTTCAACGAATTTTTAATTAACAACCTCAACGATTTCAAACTGAACAATGGCAACACTGTACGGTAAAAAAAACATTTTTATCTCTAGTGCGCGAGACTGTGTAACGGAAATTCTAAAGGAATGCCGTTTTTAAATATTTTGTGATATTGCTGTTGAATTTAATTTTATGTAGTTAAGTGTGAGGAATAAATAAAGGTAACAGACAAAACATTAAAAAAAACGTCCTATATAAAATCTGAAAGCTTTAAGATTTTTTTTAAAATTTGACATCACTCAAACCTGAATATTTTTGTCATTTAAAATATTTCTAAGGTGAAGATTTATAAAAATGATAAACAGATATACGCATTTTGATAATGAACTTCAACAGTTTTTATTATTTTTAATGGAAGATGAAGACAGATTTATTTCTGCTACACAAGTATATATTATGCTGCAAGAGAAATGTCATCAACTTTTCCCAATGCATAAATTATTAATTTTTTTTTAACTATTCCAATTCGTGTTGCTTCAGGATCTTGCTTTATCGTAAAAAACTGTCTAAGAAATACGATTCCAGAAATTAGCAGAAAGATTAAATTGTATGGCTCTGTTATAATGGAACTAGAAACAAATAATAACCAATACCCTAGAAATAATTAATCAGTTTGCTTGTAAGAAGTAAAAGAAAAATTTCCTGATGTTCCTGAATCCTGATTGTGTTCCTCCCGAATGAAAAAAACCCCTGAAGTGCTCATCAGTTGTATCTCTTGCGACTATTATGTCATCTAAGTAGATAAAAATTAATTTTCCAAGGACAGCCTTCAGATTATATAAACCTTAAGACTTCACCGCAGGGCCATACAAGAGTGAAGATATAATCCCCTAATTTCATATTAAATTCGATTTTTGGCTCGTCCTTTCATTTTACACATGTCTGGAAACAGCCAGATGTGTGGTTTAGTGTCATGATGTATTTTGAATATTTAATTTTCATGTACTACATTATGTACTAAACTAAGTGGCGCAAGGGCCCTAGTGGGCCAAGGACAGCAGTGGCCCGAAATCTGCTTTCTTGACCGTGCCCCCCCGGGGTACGAAGGCATATGCCCTGAACAAGTGATCAGCTTGTCGCAGGACTCCAAGTGTTTAGACCCCAAGCGAATTTGGTACTTTACGTACTACTGAACTAATTTATATGTTAATAGTGTTACGAATTTGGTATTTAAAAAGCTAATGTTAGTTCAATTAAATGGTTTTATTTCTCGCGCAGTGCAGCGCGTGACGAATATTAAAAGAAAGCTAAGCCGGAAAATTGAAAATACAAGAGCGCGTGCATTAAATAAAATAAATATCTCTTTTAGATTTCGAGAAAGTACTGGGGGCCCACCAGCGGCCGAGCGGTAAAGTCGCTGAACACTGGTAGTTCGGTCCGAGGTTCGAATTCCGCGAACGGGCTGGCTGCATGGGCGTTTTCGTGGTTTTCCCCGTGTGTAACGTGTATACAAGCCAGTTTCCCTTAGAAAGTCCTCCACGAAAGGCATCTCTTCCCTTAGGCAGATAGCCCTCGTGTGCTTTGCCATAATTAAATACACCAACACCAACACACCAACCGAGAAAGTACTGGAAAGTTCTAGCGCGTGATTTTAAAATCTTATAAAAGGAGGAAAACATCTCAGTTTGGAGTAGTTGCTTAGTTTGTTGTTGTTTAGAAAACTGCTGTTGTTGATTGTAGCGAATTCGCGGATTAGCGTTCTTTAGCTGTTTTGAATTACGTTCTATTGGACATTTGAGTAGTTAAAAGATAACTACTGTGAGATATTGTAATACTGCATGATAATTTGAGAAAATTTAAGCATTTTTGTTGTGATAATAATAAATTTTTGTTCATTTTTCATCGGACTTGTGCATTCATTTCATAACGAACCCGTACGCACGCAACAATATATATTTATACTTCCTGCATATACACTTGAAAAATACCGGAAATATCATAATGACTGTTTTCAAGTTTTTGAAGGCTTATTTTTTCCCGGTCATTCGCATAACTTAGTATGCAGCTGAATGTCCGCTACCAAAACCAATACTGAATGGTTTTCAATACGTTAGTGGTGACAAAGTAATGTTCCAGTTTGTCTTCAAATACCTTTTCTAAAGACAGACATCATAAGAATTTGCCTGCCGCTCAGCCGGGAGAGTAGTTAGCAACGCTGACTGCCGTATCGAAAGGCTCGGGTTCGAATCCCGGAGAAAGGCACGGATGTTTATAAATGTGTAGTGTCTGTGCGGCATGGAGGCTGTCCAAATGTGCGGTGAGCCGAAAGTCCTCCTTTGAAGTTGGTGGTAGGGGAAGACGGATGGAAGACCCACCGAACCATTCCCCCTCGGATACTCTGCATCAAAATTGGGGTGGAACTGAGCAAAGTTGTACTTCCACCTGTATGGAGCTCAAGGCCAGGCGCAAACTTGATCCCTTGCAAAGAAGAATATCGTGGGCTTGCTCTAATGTCAGAGACCTTATCTGATGCTAGTGTCGATCGGGTGGGATAAGCACCTCCCCAAACAAACAAGCAAGAACAACAACAACAAAAAAAAAAAAAAAAAAAAAAAAAAAAAACAGAAATTGCTCTAAATTTTCAAATAATCAAAACTAAATTCTTTTTTAGAATTTCAGTTGTTAATAGAAATATTAACAGTACTCCATTTTCTAAATTTGATTTCAGAAAACGTTGATATAGCAATGAAATGTTAAAACATTAAACCCTTCTTCGACCCAAAATTTTCGAAAATACAAAAATACAATATACTATTTTATTATAAAATAAATTTAAAAAAAATCCTTCATGTCAAGCTTCCATTTCTCTAAAATTGAATAAAATCTCTTATGTTATTTAAGAACTTCTGACGCTTGAAAAACACACGACAGTATTCTAAAGTATAATTATAAATAATTTTATGACCTGGTAATGAAATTTCGGATATTCTTCGGAGAATAGCCTCTTCCTAGTAAACATGTGTTATGTTGTTCAAATAGAATACTTTCAACTTTTATATCTGAAGAGCTCCGTGTTTTATATTCTTTGCCAGATATATCTTTTAATGGTTTATTAATAATTTGAAATTACGCATATAAGTTTATTTGGGTTTATCCAGCAACGAATACTTATTTTACTTTTACAACATATTCCGCATTACTTTTTTTGTCTTCCATGTAATCGATTTGTCCCGTGACCAAGCAAGTGATGCTATTACTCATTAATCGGAACAGACAATAGTGATTCAGCATTTTCTCAGCAGAAGGTACAGCAAGAATGTTTTAGGAACATGCTTACGCCACAGTATTACAGGGGGGTAATACTAAGGGGACTATCATTTTATTCTTTAACATTTCTGTAACATATTTTTAAATTATTTCTTCTTTAACCTAATCATAGTGGTAGGTTTTTTGCTCGGAAAGGGGGCTGGTTTCCTGTTTCTGTCAAGTGACTGAACACATGTGTCAACCCTAGGGTATCATCAAATAAGTCTGGAAATTTTCTTACCAACTGCTCCCACTTCGTTTTTCTATTTCAGCTTCCACTCCTTCAGGTCGAAATCCCTTGTCCAAGGCCAGCAGCTGTACTTCTTTTTTCAACTAGTTTCTTCATATCGAGCTGTCATGCATCTTCCTGAAAATTTATTATCGTGCTTTCAGACTTATCGTAAATATTACCTTTGTCTATAAGTTTCTTAGCCCTCGGCCCCCAAAAACGGACCTTCTGGTGCTTATTTTTAACCTGCCGTTTAAAGTCGTTCTGTTTATGCCTTTACAATGTTTCTTCAGTGCCACAATCACCTTTGTTCTCGCCATATCAAACAATCGGATATTACTATTTCGTCCTTGTTTGGCCTTGACGCCAAACGAGAGAGATATATCTTATCTCCTAAAATTTTCTTGAAAAAAATTTAAATCTTTTACTTATCAGTAATCTAGTTTAATAATTAATTATTTTAACTTCAAATTTTCCCAATAACTTTTTAGTAGTTCGCTGCTTTTTCCCCACAGAATACGTATTTTTTTACATAATTTAAAATTTTTTGAATTTTAGTCTCGATATGAAAGAAAATAGCATTAAAATATTTAAAAATAAAAATATTAAATCACAATTGTATTTAAGTATTCATAATTTTCAGTAATTATGTGCATGTAATTATTTATTACATTGCGATTCGTAAACGCCCCATAAATTTTACCGCCAGAGGTCCCCAACTTAACCCGTCTTTGATGTAACGCTTGCGTAACATTGTAAGAGGAGGAGGAAGATTTAAATGGAGCGTTGATGGGTCTCGTTTTTCTGCTTGCTTCCATTTTCAAATTAATGCTAATATTTTAAAGAATTTAATTTTTAGCTACATGCTCTAAGAATTCAGGTTCCAACTGCTGTTTAAAACCTTAAAAAAATTCTTGCAGATTGATTCCTCCGTTCCTACGTCTTGACTTTTTATGTGTGAAAGAAAAAGAGAAAATTTAGATAAAGAAGAGGAAAATTAAATTTTTATGCTTTGCTTAATTAAATAAAAATTTTCGCAATGTTGTTGACCTGTAAAAAGATTCAGTAACTTATCGTAGTGAATTGAGTAATTTATTTATCAGATTATCTGATGGAGTAGAAAGATAACAAAATTATCAGATTTATTGCCATTCTTTTCTTTGTAAATAATTCACAATAATTCGCATATTAACTGTCAGATAGGAGTGAAAATAACGAAATATCAAGATAACTTAGTGATGATGTCTTTGCTTTCTTTAATAACAAGAGTAATTGCTCTTAATATCATCATGTTCTCAGGTTATTGTTTTTATATTATAGTATTTTATTCTTTTAGTTAATGCCTTTTTTTCAATATTATATAAATCAATATAATAATCAATTCAATATTATATAAATCAATATAATAATATAAAGTATTTATATGTATTAAATTAGTGTTATAGTATAAAATCTCAGTTTATTATTTTAATAAAACCTGTGATAGTTAAAATAGTTGTATATTTTACGAATGGTTTCTGGCTAGAATTTTGAAGAGTAGAACGAATAGCAATATAAGAAATGCAAGGAAGGGGTCCTTGTAAAGAAATCTGCTTCCTTAATGCAGGGAGTAAATTAAAAATTATATGAATAAATTTTCTAAATTGTGCTGTAAAATTGTGAATCCCAGGAAAGGTGCGAAATATGTGAGTAAATAATAATAGTTAATGTTGGAATATATGTGTAAGTATCTATATAATGTCACGTTTAATGATTGTGCTATTATATATTTGCAGACAGTACATACATTCCAAGGCATTCACTACAAAAATTTAAGAATGTTAACCTATTGTATTTTAACACATATAGTCACAGACCAGTTTGCAGAAGTAATGTACACTTCTGAGAATAAAGCTAATAACAGGGTTTAAAAATAAATATATTATAAAAACTAAAGAAAATAAATTTGCAACAACTTTTGGGCATATCCAGTTAGAGCAGTTAATTTGCTGGATTAGTTTTACAAGTTTAGCTGTAATCATGTTTTCGGATACATATTATCCTCTCCTTAGAAATGTTGGTATTCTTAAAAGATGATCAGATTTTGACTCTAGTCAAAAATTTTTAATGATAGCTGAGGCAACATTTGTTATTTTTTTATTCTAATGTAATAAAATTTGTTCTTGAAATTATGAAAAACCAGAATATAATTACAATGGTTTCATGAAAAGTTAATGCTAAATGCACTTTTGTCAGTGTATCCACTGCTTGTCTGTATCAAATAGTACCATGTTTGGATGCTTTCTCAGTGGTATGGTTCCATATTGTTAAAAACCATGCACCTTTTTTCTCTGTTGATGATAAATTCTAAATTTTAATAGTTTTTATACAACTGAGTAAATAAAAGAAAGTAAATTATAGTTCATCAACTTTTATGATGGAAACTTTAAATATAAAAATTTGCTGACAGTCTTTTGCACTATGCATGTTACAGTGGCTCACAAAAGTGATGGCTACTTTGAATTTCTGTATTGTTACGAATTTGGTATTTAAAAAGCTAATGTTAGTTCAATTATAAATTAAATGGTTTTATTTCTCGCGCAGTGCAGCGCGTGACGAATATTAAAAGAAAGCTAAGCCGGAAAATTGAAAAATACAAGAGCGCGTGCATTAAATAAATAAATCTCTTTTTTGATTTCGAGAAAGTACTGGAAAATTCTAAGCGCGTGATTTTAAAATCTTATAAAAGGAGGAAAACATCTCAGTTTGTAGTAGTTGCTTAGTTTGTTGTTGTTTAGAAAACTACTGTTGTTGATTGTAGCGAATTCGCGGGTTTTAGCGTTCTTTAGCTGTTTTTTGAATTACGTTTCTATTGGACATTTGAGTAGTTAAAAGAAAACTACTGTGAGATATTGTAATACTGCATGATAATTTGAAAAAATTTAAGCATTTTTGTTGTGATAATAATAAATTTTTGTTCATTTTTCATCGGACTTGTGCATTCATTTCATAACGAACCCGTACGCACGCAACAATTTTTGGTGTCAGAAGTGGGATTTGAATGCCAATAACAAGAGCGATGGAAGAACAATTGAGACAGCTCATTAGGAGGGCTTTTGCTGCTTCCAAGAAAAGATGGAAGCTGGCCAAGCATCATTTAAGGAAGAAATGAAATTGGGCCAGGAATCCGTTAAGGAAGAAATGAAATTGGGCCAGGAATCCGTTAAGGACGAAATGAAAGCCGTTCAAGCTGGTCAAGAAGAAATGAAAAGAGAAATTACTTGCATAATAGAAATAAATTTTGAAGCTATGGAAGGCAGAATTGACGCAGTTGAAAATAAAGTTGGACATATTGAAGAAAGAGTTTTCTTCGGTGAAAGAAGAAATAGAAAAAGAGTTTTTTCTGTAAAAAACAAATTGATGAAGAGAGTTTCTGCAGTTGCCAAAGAAATGGATACTTTAAAGAAATTCGTAGCGTCGGCAGGGAGCAGGAGTGGATGATTTTAAATTCTTACCAATGAATGCTCGTCCACCTCTGAAGCTATCCACATATGATGGAAGACCTCCTGGCAGGTGTATAAGACACAATTTTCTATCGTGGCGGATGCGAATGGATGGGATTCCCCAAGCTAGGCCTGTCATCTCTCGCCGCTTCTCTAAGAGCCGACGCAGCGGATATCCTTCAGACTCTTCCCCGAAAACAAAAGGTTAGATTTCGAAGCTCTGTCCGGCGCCTTGGAGTTGCGCTTTGGGGAGAAGTGTTTAAAAGACTACAGCAGGCTCCAATTAAAATCTCGTCAACAGAAGCCTACCGAAACACTTCAGGAGCTCGCCGCGGATGTTGAAAGGCTGTCCCATCTCGCCTTTTCGGAATGCCCGACAGAAACAAGGGAAATCCTGTCCTTGCAATACTTTATCGACGGCATCCGAGATACTGAAATACAGAAAACTCTACGAATGGCGGATGTAAAAGATTAAAAAGTGCTCTCTAGTGTACGCCATGAAATTCGAGGCAGCCCAGCAAGCCACTCGTCGAGACCGCCACCCAGTCAGAGCTGCTCAAGTCCAGGAGCCAGGGGATCAAGTCACCGCTCGACTTGACGATTTAACTAGACAACTGAACGCCTTGAGACGGAATATTGGTGAGAAGAAACCGACCGTTAAGTGCTGGAACTGTGGTGCTGAAGGACACATACGACGAAACTGCAAAACACCCCAGGGTATTGATGTTAAGACCGCTTCTAACAAGCAGCAGGGAAACTAATTAGTGGCCATCTCGCGGGGCGGAGGTTGCCAGATAATGAAAAGCCCCCGTTTTAAAGCGCTTCAGATTTCTGCAGTGAGAGGCGGCAGTAATGGAATTTTCATAATAGGACATATTAATGGAGTTCCGTGCAATATGACTATAGATACAGGAGCCAACGTCACCATCATCCGAAAAGATTTGGCTCAACAACTAGGAAACAAACTTATCTGGACGCCGCCCTGCGTTACCCTCCAGACTGTGTCCGGTGAGAAGATCGACATCGACGGAAAAGTAAATGTTAACATCACGTTTGGAAGTGCCGCTTACCATCACACGGCATATGTAGCAGCAGAGATCACTGATTCTTGCATACTCGGATTGGACTTTCTAAGGAAATACAATTTTTCCTTGGATTTTAAAAATAACGAATTGCATTCTACATCTGAGGACATAGCGTTATTTCTCGTTAATGATGAAGAAGTTTAAATCTGTGCATAAAATCATAGCACAAGACTATATTACAATACCGGCAAGAACAGAAATTTTACTTCCTGGATCCATAGCCGAAAATAGAAATTTCCGCTACGGCATCATAGAATATCCCAATAACTGTAATATCCCAAAGGAGTATTAGTTAGCCTCAACACTCGTCGACCTATCCAGAACGGTTATCCCGGTGAGAGTCGCCAATGTAACTGAAAAGTCGAGGAGTTATTAAGAAAGGTGAAGTGGTTGCAACATGTACTCCAGTAACCAGCGTTGAAAAAAAGAGTAACATCCCAGAATCCGTGTCCTCAGAGAGCATTACATTACATCGGAGTTATTGCAGAATGCACAATTAAACGATAAAGAGAAAAATGCTGCCGATCGCGTCATTAAAGATCTTCAAGTTGTTTTCTCCCGCTCGTCTTCTGACGTGGGTCGAACTAGTTTTGACACAACATAGAATAGATACTGGCGATCATCCCCCGATCAAGCAACATCCAAGACGTCTACCGTTTGCTAAACAGGAAGAGGTGCGAACACTGTTAAAAGATATGGAAGAAGGCGATGTCATCGAGCCTTCAGCGAGTCCATGGGCATTCTCCCATCGTTCTCGTCAGAAAGAAAGACGGCTCAACAAGATTTTGCGTGACTATCGCCGGTTGAATGAGGTTACGAAGAAAGACAGTTACCCTCTTCCTAGAATTGATGACATTCTAGACACTCTTTCTGGAAGCAAGTGATTCTCAACACTTGATTTAAAGAGTGGGTATTGGCAGGTAGAAATCCATCCTGATGACCGAGAAAAGACGGCATTTACTACGGGACAAGGACTTTGGCAGTTCAAAGTGATGCCGTTTGGACTGTGTAATGCGCGCCGGCAACATTCGAACGTCTTATGGAGACTGTTTTTGAAAGGCCTTTCTTACGAAGCCTGCCTGATATACCTGGACGATATCATCATCGTCGGAAAGAGTTTTGAAGAGCATCTAGAAAATCTTAGAAAGGTGCTTCAGAAACTGAAAGAGGCCAATCTGAAGCTGACTCCCGCTAAATGCAAATTGTTTCGAAAGGAAGTGACTTACCTGGGACATGTCATCTCTGCAGAAGGTGTGCGCACGGATCCTGAAAAGGTATCAAGCGGTTAAATCCTGGACGCGTCCCGAAAATGTCCATCAGCTGAGAAGCTTCCTAGGGCTTTGCACCTACTATAGGAGATTCGTGAAGAACTTTTCTTCCATCGCAAGACCCTTCACAAGCTGACAGAGAGCAAGCAAAGATTCTTGTGGACAAAGGAATGCGAGGATGCATTTAACAACTTAAAGGAAGCTTTAACATCTGCTCCAATCCTGACGTATCCTCAGCTCGACAGACCATTTATTCTCGACACCGGACGCGAGCAATGAAAGTGTCGGTGCTGTTTTGTCCCAAGAAATAGACGGCCAAGAACGTGTAGTAGCTTACTGGAGCAAGTGCCTGTCTAAACCGGAGAGGAATTACTGTGTCACACAAGGAAAGAGTTCCTCGCCATTGTCAAAGCTGTAGAACATTTCCATCATTATCTATACGGGAGAAAATTCCTCCTCCGCACGGACCAATGCTCATTGGCCTGGCTTTTAAATTTCAAAAATCCTGAGGGTCAAATAGCCAGGTGGATACAGAGACTCCAAGAATATGACATCACTATCCGTCATCGTAAGGGATCATCACACGGAAACGCCGACGCCCTGTCTAGAAGACTTGCCAAGAAAACTGCCGATATTGTTCCAGGGTGGAAGTGAAATACGAGCTGCTGATTCCGGTCGCAAACAAATTATAACATCAACATCGGCTGATCGAGACCCGTGGAGTGATGATGAAGTCAGGAAAGACCAGAGCTGGAAGACCGCGACATTAAAACCCATACTTGATTTAATAGAGTCATCAAACAGAAAACCTACATGGCAGGACATTTCTATCTGTAGTCCTACAACAAAACAATACTGGGCACTCTGGGATTCACTTCACATTCGAAACGGCGTCTTATACCGGAAAATTCGAGTCGGATGATGGGAAGACGTTCCGATGGCAACTGATACTTTCAAGATCCCGGATTCCTGATGTCCTCAAAGAACTATATAACAGCCCTACAGGAGGTCACTTTGGAATTATGAAGACCTTACAGAGAGTTCGTGAGCGCTTTACTGGAATAATGCAAAGAATGACGTGCAAAAAGTGGTGCCGATCTTGCGATGCCTGTGGCAGGTCGGAAAGGACCGAGGAAAGACGCAGCCGAGGCAGACTGCAACGTTACAACGTGGGGTGCGCCTTTTGAACGTATCGCCTTTGACATCCTGGGGACCTCTGCCACGAAACTGCTGATGGCAACAAATACATACTCGTTGTCATTGATTACTTCACCAAGTGGCCTGAAGCTTATCCTATTCCTGATCAAGAGGCAGTCACAGTAGCTGAGGTAATGATACAGCACTGGATTTCCAGGTTCGGAGTGCCTCTTCAGTTACATTCCGATCAGGGGAAGGAATTTTTGCCTCGGCAGTAATCAAAGAACTATGCAAACTACTTGGCATTGACAAAACTCAAACGACGCCATTGCATCCCCAGTCGGACGGCATGGTAGAGAGGTTCAATCGAACCATCCTTAATAACCTCTCATTAGTGGTTTCCAGAAACCAACAGGACTGGGACAAGAAATTACCACTCTTTTTACTGGCTTACCGCAGTGCTGTCCACGAGATTACCGGCTATTCTCCATCACAGATGCTCTTCGGTCTTTACCTTCGTCTGCCTTGTGATCTATTGTTTGGCCGCCCTCCGGATGCTCCTTCATCGTCTGAGGAATATATTCAAGATCTCCAGGCCCGGTTTGAAGTGATGCACAATTTTGCACGAGAGCGAGTCAACTTGGCGACGGAGAAGATGAAGACCCGATATGACACAAGAGCTACTGAACATCAATTCCACGAAGGAGACAAGGTGTGGTTGTGGAATCCGCCTCGACGGAAAGGACTTTGTCCGAAATTACAGTCATTTTGAGATGGGCCGTACACAGTCCTAAACAGGCTGAATGACGTCGTGGTTCGGATTCGTAAGTCTTTTCGAACTCTAAACCTAAAAAGTCGTTCATTACGACAGGTTAGCTCATTACTATGGGCCATAGTACATAATGTAAATAATTGTAAATAGTATAAGACCATGGTCCATTTTTGTTTTTAAATGTGTATTTGATTTGTATTTGATAGCATTTGATTTGTTTTATTATTGCATTTATTTGTTCATGTTGTTTATTATTGTAATGTAATGCTTATTAATGCATTTATGCCACAGTTGTAAGTTTTGCTTCCTGTCCAGGGATTGTACTGCCCGGGACGTGCAGTCCTTGGGAAGGGGGCAGTGTTACGAATTTGGTATTTAAAAAGCTAATGTTAGTTCAATTTATAAATTAAATGGTTTTATTTCTCGCGCAGTGCAGCGCGTGACGAATATTAAAAGAAAGCTAAGCCGGAAAAATTGAAAATACAAGAGCGCGTGCATTAAAATAAATAAATATCTCTTTTTGATTTCGAGAAAGTACTGGAAAATTCTAGCGCGTGATTTTAAAATCTTATAAAAGGAGGAAAACATCTCAGTTTGTAGTAGTTGATTAGTTTGTTGTTGTTTAGAAAACTACTGTTGTTGATTGTAGCGAATTCGCGGATTAGCGTTCTTTAGCTGTTTTGAATTACGTTCTATTGGACATTTGAGTAGTTAAAAGAAAACTACTGTGAGATATTGTAATACTGCATGATAATTTGAGAAAATTTAAGCATTTTTGTTGTGATAATAATAAATTTTTGTTCATTTTTCATCGGACTTGTGCATTCATTTCATAACGAACCCGTACGCACGCAACAGTATACTTTAACGAACATAAAAAACAAAATTATAAAACAAAAGGAAAGGCTTTTATTTTGCTTATATATAAATTCAATATTCTTTTTATAGTAAATACATTTCTGAAAAGATGAAAATTAAATTCAAAAATCAATATTGTTTGTTTAATGAGGAGAAATGTTCTCCAAAAATAATCGCACACTTTTAGTAACAGCCAAAAATGACAAAAACTTACTTTGTTTTTACTCTTTTTTAAGTACTTACTTTTTACTTTTTTTTAAGTACTTACTTTGTACTTACTGTTTATTGTGTTTAATATTTGAGATTACCTTTATCACTTCATTTAATCTTTTGGGCTTTGGTTTCGCAAGTTTTTTTTTTTTTTTTGGTTTGTTTGTTATTTCTAGACTTTTTTATGCAACTTCTCTTGAAGCACTGCTTTCAGCTGTTGCCGAGAAGATATGTTTTGTTTTTAAATTTTTGATTCTAGCTCCTGCCAAATATGTTCAATAGGGTTAAGATCTGGTGATTGAGGTGGTGCCTTAATTACTTCTAGACACTTATATAACAGTTAGAGTCTAATATTGTGCACATTATGCTTTCTATAATTGTCCTGGTAGAATTTAAAATGCTTTGTATGCTAAGTTTTTGTGTTCATGATGCAAAATTTCGCTTCAAGGTGGTAAAATCCTAGGAGAGCCCAAACCCTTGGCGACAAATTGGAAAGTGCGCACTGCTTGGCGCTTTTCTCAAAATCGCCAACTTGAAAATAACAAGTCAAACAATTGCACAAACTCGGTATCTATGTAAACATCGACCTATTTTCACTTAAAAAAACATCAGAGAGCTGCACAAACTTGGCATTGCACACTCTCTTGACTTTGTCCATGCACACATTGATACGCACCATCACCAAAATCATTCGCTAAGATCCAACCTGTCAACTGTCAAGGTACTTATACTGATCCACAATACCATGTTTAAACTCTATATTACCAACTTTGGAATAGGGCATAGATCTCCAAACCATAACTCCTCCTCGGCCTTGTTTAATGCTTGTTACTAAGTTTTGCTTCTGAAATTCTTTCGGTTTTCTTTACACAGGATTCGTCCATCTGAAGCAAAGATGTTAAATTTTCTTTTATCAACAAACAACACATTTTTCCAGTCAGGTAACTTTTGTTTCATCAATTTTGTGAAATAGAGTCGAAGTTTTCGATTATTTTTACTGACATAAAATATTTTCTTTCTATTCGCCCATGATATCCTGTGTATCGCATTACTCTTACAATTTCTGGATTTACAAATGTTCCCTATAATTCACGTAGTTCCGCAGTGAATTTTGAAGCACTCGGTCGTATTCTTTTTAATATACCTTAGAATAAAGTGTTTCATTCAATCAGATAAATTAGATGATCTTTTAGGTCTTCTTTTGTTTTTAATACAATTCTGTTTCTTATTATGCTTAATCATATCAAAAACTGTAGAATTACTTAAATTAAGTAAATCGGCAATTTTTCTAATAGATTTCTCTTTCTTTTAATGCAAATCATTAACTAATTTGTAGATTTCTAAAGGTGTTTCCTTTTATGAGTGAGCCATAGTAAGAGAACATTAAAATAACAAATATTCTCTAAAAAGAAAATTCAAATTATTAAGACAAAGAATTTTTAAGATTGTTGCCCAGCTTCTTTATCTAATCTAATTCCGCAAAAGTTCATTTTTTATTTGTTGAAGATGATTTTAATTATAAATGCTAAAAATGTCCGATTAATTTTCCATTTCAGTCTAAAACGTCATATTTTAAATTTATTTAGCACAAAGAAGGAGCTAAGAAAATGTGTATTCAAAGGAAAAATATTCTTTATTATTTTACTTCAAAGCTTTTCTCTTATTACTTAGAAAAATACAAAAAATTATAGTTTTCGATCATGTTTTGTGAGACTGTATACAAAATTTCCAGCTGATGGTATCAACATATTTAGGGCTGAGATAGTGCATAAATACTGGTATGTGTTATTGCATATTTCAGAGTTTACACTTTTATTTATTATTTGCACTGTACCTATTATAGCACACAGTTCTTAATGTATTAATATGTAGATAAATTTTCAGATGTATCCTGTTCTTCATCCTTGAAAGTTGTCATGTTGGGTGATTGGGGTGGATTGCCTATATTCCCTTACAAAACATTTGTTGAATTGTCAGTAGGAAGAGAAATGTCCTATCTTGCTTCAAAATTTGGAGTAGATTTTATTTTAGCATTAGGAGATAACTTTTACTTGGATGGTGTAAAAGATGTTGACGATCCAAGGTTTAAAGTAAGTAAACATATAGTTTTCATGATTAATATAATTAAGCTTTATAAATTATTAATTATCTAATTAATATTTTATTTTCATTTCTGTTACTTGTATTGCTCTTTAAAAAATATTCTGGTTAGAGTAGACCGAAGGGTACCCCTTGTATTATCGCCAAGTTGTTGTTTCATTTATGGTAACCTGAGTAGTTGAATGTTTTGTAAATATACTTTTACCTAGAATTTGTCTTTGACTTTTATGTGAAAAATTGTGTATGGGGGCAAAAGTTGTGGGCAAGAAAGAGCGCAGTGCCAAGCTTGTGCAATTCTCTTATTTATTATTTTTTTTTAAAGTGAAAATAGGTAGACGTGTACATGGATAAAGTCAAGGGAGTGTGCAATGCTTAGTTTGTGCAATTCTCTGATTTTTTTAAGTGAAAATAGGTCAATGTGTACATGGATACAGAGTTTGTGCCATTCTTTGACTTGTTATTTTGTCTTTAGCAGCGGTTTTTGGCGCTACACAAAGCAAAAATAACAAGTCAAAGAATTGCACAAACTTGGTATCCATGTACCGCCAATTTCCGCCAAGGGTTACCCGTAAATAAACTTTTTACCAATATTCTTAATTTCCCTTCTCTTGATTAAGATTGTGTAAATTTGTATAAATTTTATTTTGCACATTTTAAGGACCTCCATTTTGATGGCAATTATTAATATAAAAATAACTTAAATCTGAATATGTATTATGGTAAAAATAAAAGTAAGATTTTTTGTTTAAAATTTATTAACTAGATGTTCAGTATAATATTGTATGTTGTATTATTTCAACAAAAATAAACATAATATTTCTTAACTATGTAAGCAAATAATATTGATTTTAAGAAATAAATATAAAGGCATTTTAACTAAAGAAATAAAAAATTATTATTTTATCAAAACTTATTATTCTGAAGCAAATAAAATATTATAATTATGAGACAGATTGTTAACTCTTAAAACAGTTTTTTTAGAAAAAATTTATCTTAAACTGATTAAATGTTTGTAATATTTGGAAAATATTTTTAGAATGCCCATATGATATTCATAGTATCGATTTTATATTTACAAAACTGTATCTTCGATGTCAAAAGTTTGTATGTTTCTGGTAATTTTCTTTCTGTATTAGACATTTAAAAATTATTGTAAGCTTTTTATCTCTTTTCTTGGAATCACTGAAACTTTAACAATATAATGTATTTTTATATTTAATATTTTATAATTATTAGCCCAAATGTGCATTAGCCAGAAGGACTGATAGTCTTGAAACGGCATTTTTCGTTGAATCACTAAAAGCTTTAAATCACTTTTTAAATTGTTGCCTCCAAATGAGCCATCAAATTTTGAATAACGTAGTCTTTCGTCTACATATGGGGGCCTGGAATCCCAAATTTTGAATTTCAAATTTGTTTTATTATCTGTTTCATATTTTGTAAAATTGTAACGAATTCTTGATTAACAAACTGTACGATTTCAAAGCAAATAGTGGCAACACTGAAGAGAATAAAACATTTTTATCTCCAACACGCAAGACTGTCTATCAAAAATTCTGAAGATATGCTGTTTTTAGATATTTCTAGCCCAAATACTCTTGAAGCATGTATTTATGTGTAATGAAAAAAGCACCTCTTTGGGCATATATAAAATCTGAAAGCTTTGAGATTTTTTTTAAAAGATTTATTTATTATTTCACTCAAGACTAGTTTTTTTTTTCTCTCCTAATTAGGAAACTTTTGAAACAGCATTTGGATATGAGTCACTTCATGTTCCTTGGTTTCTTATTGCTGGTAATCATGATCACTATGGGAACGTGTCTGCACAGCTTGCTTATTCTTCTAAATCTGATCGTTGGTAAGTTTACTGTAATTACCATTTTGCATAATTGAATTAAAAGAAAGTTCGTATAAATTTTAATAATGTTGTATATAAAATAGAAATAACTAATATTATCTTTCAGTACTTTTATGTCTATTTCAACACTGCATCTGGTGCCACTTAATTTTTTACATTTTTTTCCCGTACAAAACATACATACTTTTGGCTTGTGCGTTGTTCTTCCAGTATATACAACAGTCTGTTTTTGTTAAAAAAAAAAAAAAAAAAAAAAAAAAAAAAAAAAGTCAGATAATTGTATGAACTTGGTATCATGCATATTCCTGGCACAAAAATATTAAATTGAGAAAGAAAAAAAGAGTCACATTATGCTTTATTCTTTCTTCATCGGTAAAAATGAATAAAAATTTGGTTAGTTGTCAGAATTTTCTTGAATAACTGAACAGTGATTCAAATTTATAATGCTGCCCAGCCAGTTTAGTAGTTAGTGATCCTGACTGCTGTAGCAATGGGCCCGGGTTCAAATCCAGAAGGCATGGTTGTAACCATCCGTCCCTTCATAAGAGACAACAGTGGCCACCTGTTACGTGCTTCCTAAATGAAATGGCTACCACTTCTGGCCTTTGTAATGGTGCAAGGCTAATGGCTATTAAATAAAGCACTTGACCATTAAAAAAATTAATAATGATGTTTAGGTACTTCCATATTAATGCAACCACCTTGGTGCAGTTTGGTGACTTCTTAGAGATTAAAAGGTAAAAGTTACTTATTGGGTACAATATGGTGATTTTTGTGACATTTTTTAAAAGGATTCCCAAATTATCAGTATTGACTAAGTTGACAAACATTCTCAACATGTCAAAAGTCATATAATATAGCAATTTTAAATACAAATTTTAGATGTTAAATAAGCACTTCATGATAAACTAAGACTAATAATAATAAAAAAAAAAGCGTCTTCAAATCTTTTTGTAATTTTTTTGTGATATTCTTTTCTCTGAGTATACAGCAATCTATTTTTGCTTAAAAAAAATCGAATAATTGCAGAGGCTTGTCATGCAAACCTCAGCAGCACCGGTTTTTTACCAAACCGATATCTTTGTTACCTGAGAGAATTTGTGGCCAAATTCTGTATTCCTGCATAAATTTGACTAAGTTTCTTCCACTGCTGGCAAATTCCACAAGTACATATTTTAAAACTAAGACAAAAAATATCGTGGTTTGTTTATAAAAACCACTTGAACTTGAATTATAACAAAGAGAGCACATATGAAAATGGCGACTTTGACTGAGGGATTGTTATAAGAATGATAGCCCGAAGAATGGTTATGTGCAGAGTTTGCCAACTTTTGAAAATGTTGCAACTTCTGTCTACTAAGGTGGTTGTGATAGTACAAGAGTATCGCTGTTTATTCTGAATTATATTTCTGGTAAATAGATGAATATTATTAAAATGAAAAAGTAAATTTGGGGCAATTTATTTCTTATAGCATTATATCTTGATTTAAATTTCAAATAAAATTGACTGATTTAATGTGTAAATAAACTTTTAAGAATTCATTTATGTATCAGTAACTTTTCTTACTTAATGTAATAAAGGTACCTACTGATTATCTGCATCTCCTCCTGGAAAGTTGCTAGCCTTTCGTGACTGATTTTTCACCAAGATGAGAAAGAAAACAACCATTTTCAAAAATGACAGCTCGCTAAGAATTACAGAAAACAGCAGCCAATCAATGAAATATAGAATGCAAGTGCCATCCACAATCATTTAACCTTTTTTTTTTTTTTTTTTTTTGTGTGTGTGTGTGCTTTTCTCCATATGTAACAGCCATCTGCTTTAGCTTAAAAAAAATCATCAGGGAATTGGAGAAACTCAGCATCACTCACAGCTTTGCACTGTACGTATTTTCTTCCCATGTACATAATAATGTTTTCACTCTTAAGAATGAAGAATCTCATACAAATTTGGTATCAAAGAATCGCACAAACTTATATTGTACATGCTGTTGTTTTCCCATGCACACAACAATCTGTTTTTGTTTAGAAAAAATCAGAGAATTACAGAAATTCAACTTTGATGTGCAAATTTAATTCATAAATTTTCATATGATGTACAGCTTGATGGAATGTAAATTGTGTTCTGTACTATTAGTCAACATTCCATATTTCTGATGTAATTCAACATCCAGCAAACTCCACAGTCCCGTTATGATTCCTTACAAGAAAAATAAAAGAAAAAATGCACTCAATATAACAAAAGCAAACACTAATGGCCATTAATTTTGAAGGTAGAAAATGGCACTTATCTGTGCATGCTTACCTGAATTTCCACTTAAATACAATTTCCTAATTCAGTGACGTAGCATATTGTCTTGTGGATACTTTTCAGGGGGCTTGCGGATAAACAAAAAGTGCTATAATAAGAGTAAATGCGAAATGCTGTTTTCTGGAAATATGAAAAATTTGCTGGTTGTTTATATTTCTTATTTAATCAGCTAGACACTGTTGCACATGCCCTAACTTAAACTATCCTGTCAGTTACATTTAAGGCCTTATCTTAATGTTTTCATAATATTGCACTTGGCATATTTTGTAATTTTTGTCGCTCATGAAAGTGAAGAGTTTGGCAGAATAGCAATAAGCATTAAATTTTGTTACAAACTGTTTAAAACATGAACTGAAAAATTGCTTCAGCAAGATTTTGAATGGAAATGTTTCGGCCGGATAGTAATTTAGCAATGGTTCTTAACTAGAACAAGTTCAGAGAATGTTGCAAAAGTGCATGAAATTATCCTGAAAGACTGTAAAGATTGCTACATTATCTTATGGCACTTTTCAGTGAATATGTTTATTCAAATGGTTAGAATGAGAGAAGCAATGCTGAATAGTTTATGGCCCAAATATGTATGATGCAGTTGTTTTTGGCATCCTCCGTTTTTCTTACTACTCACTAGATTTATCTTCCTGCAAATTCTTCTTCTTACCTAAAGCAAGAATAAAACTGAAAGGGATTGGATTTAGCTCCGTAAATAAAATCTAGAAAAAAATTGCCAGGGATTAAATGCTGTTAAATAAATAAAAAAAGGGAGGGGGGACTGAAAGCTTTCAGATTTTACATTATGCCCAAAGGGGCATTTTTTTAACATTTTGTGTGTTACCTTTATTTATTAAATATCATGTTCTTTGGATCATAAGATTCAGTTCAACTGCAAATATTGCAAAATAATTTTTAAATGAGGATATCTTTAGAATTTCCGATACACAGTCTCTCGCCCTGGAGAAAAATGTCCCCCCCCCATACAGTGTTGCTTGCTTTGGAATCATTGCGTTTGTTAATAAAAAATTCGTGAAAGTTTTACAAAATATGAAATAGATAATAAAACAAATTCCAAATTTGAACTTCCAGATGCCCATATTCGGGTAACGTACGTTATTCAAAATTTGATGGCTCTAGGTACCATTGTTTTATCACAATGCAAGAAAGATACATACATTTATACAGATGCTTCGTTATTTGATTTTTTTTTTAATATAATACAGGGCTCTAATATTTAGTGGCGACAATTTGAAAAGTGAACTGACATTTAAAGTTTTCAGTGCAAAATGCCAAAATGAAAAAATTCATTCTTCTGGCTAAAAAGGTTTTATAGAGGTTTTCCAACTATAGGAAAGCACTGGGACCCATATTTTCACTGCTAAAGAGACTATAGTTCATTAGGTTTATTCACTGCAATAGTTCATTAGATTTATCTCCTTGCAAATTCTTCCTCTTACTTAAAATAAGAATGAAGCATAAATGAAGAAGACTTAATAGTGCTTTCCTGTTAAAGTGGTCACGTTGATCATTTACCAGAATCAGAATATTAGTTGCCAGATTTGGAAAATTTATAATCCAATAACAACAATAACAGTAAACTAGTTAAAAAATTAATGTGTCGTGTAATATAGTAGCGTAATATTTAATATGTGCAATGCTGAAAATGTACACAATGCTGAATTTATGCAAAAACACATCCTATTTACATGGGAAGAACAAGAATAGTGTATCATATAGTATAGTAGGTGCAATTTTTGGTGTATCGTAAAATCCTTATTTAACAGTTCAGATTTATATTTTAAACTGTATTTTTGTTTTCTTTTGATATGTTGATAATATTTACTGATAAATATTTATGCAGGGGTAATATGTAAAAGAAAAAAAAAAATATTACTCTGTTCTCCCCACGTACACAGCCATCTATTTTCATTCACAAAAGTATCATGGAATTGCATAAATTCAACATTGTGCACAGCTTTGGCATTGTACACATTAAGCTATGTTTTCATTGATATCTCCTTAAATGAATACTGAGTAAGCAGGAATATTTGTATAAAAATTTGTTATAAGAATAAGCACAATAAACAGCTGTAAATAGCTCAAGGAGAATATGGATATTAAGCAATTCCTCTTTAATACATGAGAAATGTAGTCAATTGTCAAAATCACTCATAGAGTAAACTTTGAATCAGCTAACTGCTGAATCTCGCAGCTAATTCTTACTTGACTTTTGTATGGGCTCTGGAAGCTTCTTGAAGAGCATAGGACTTGAAAATATGTTTTCCCAAATCTTCCAGAAAGCTGTCAAGTTATTGAGAAATTACCAATATCAGCAAGACCTGTCAAGAATGATTGAATTTGCTCATATCTCATGCTCTGCTTAACCTATTTTTACAACTTAAATTTGCTGCATTCATAACTAAAAGATCTGCAATTCTCTAAAACAAGTAAATGTTTAAATACAAAACACATAATCACAGATTCAATTAAACAAAAAATAAACTCCAAAGTTATTGTTCTAAAAGCATCAAATAAATAAGTAAAACAATAAACAAAAACAACACTACAGTGAAAAAGGATTTAAGTACTTACAACATTTTGTGTTTTTTTTTCCATTTTTTGAAGTTGCAGTAGTGTTTTCTAGTTTCTGCCAAATTAATTTTAAATGTCATCAAATTTGGTGAAGATCTTCCAGTGGTACTTTAACAAGAATGTACTAATTTAGCTTTAAATGAAATCTAAGAATAATTGCAAGGAATGCTGTGAAAGCTTGAATGAAGTATGGCTTAATAAAAGCTTTCTTATCATAAGAAAGCACTGGGACCGAAGTTTATATAGCAATAGAGACTTAAAAGTGTGATGTAGAAAACATTTAAAAAAAACTTTTTGTATAAAAAAATTTTTTTACAGCATTTCTTATAAATGAGTTTTTCTCTAAAATTATTAATATGAACTTTTTATGACCATTATTCATATGACAATCTTCTGTTCAGTTCTTCTTTTGGCTTGAATTTCCCAGTTCGTCATTTTAAAAATGTTAGTTACTCTGGATGCAATCCAACCATCAAAGACCGAGTCTTTCTTTGATTTAGCTTCCCATTAGTGTATAGTTAACAATTTTAAATCTTAAGCGTGAAGAGTTCATTTGACAGATTTGACTACCAAATTTTATGTGATTGATTTTAATGCATTTGATAGTATTATTTTCTTTATGTAATTTATATAATTAATTGTAATATTAGAATATTCCTTTGAAAAACAGCCAGATGAGTTTTTCGCATCTTAGGTGACATTCAATTTCAGAACTATATTTAAAAGTAGAAATTTTATTATAGTCTTCTGTAATAGTAGTTTTTGTCCCCCCCTTTTAAGAAATTTTTATTAATAATGTGTTTAATTAATGATTTCTTATATTTTAATTATTATACTGCATTTTGATAATTAGTTAAATAATATTGCTTTAGCACATGTTACACTTAAATATTTGCTTTTATAAATATTTTTATTTTAGGCATTTTCCTGCTTTATATTACAAGAAAAATTTGAAGGTCCCTCTTTCTAATTTTACAGTAGATGTAGTTATGACTGATAGCATAATTCTATGCAGGAAATACGGATCCAGCCGAACCTTATAAACAGCCTTTATTTGATTCAATTAACCTGCATAAAAGTAAAAAGCATTGGGAGTGGTTAGAAGATGTTTTAAAGTCATCTAAGTAAGTTATTTAAAGTTTATCATTTTTTTATGGGGGTGATTATTTTGCTATAAATAAATACAGTAGTCTGTAATCTGGACATCCAATATCCAGAATGATCTACTATCTGAATCTCTGGACCAATAGGAATTTCTTTAAATAAGATTTTAAATGGGGAAGGCAATACTCCAGAAAAAGCATCTGTGTGATAAAAGTGATTTTCCTTCTGACAAATCGAGATTCAGCTACGTCACTTTCAAACAGCTGCGAGCCAGAGAATCACACCATTCTGGCCAATGGCAATACAATGATTGATGCTAGCCACAATCATGCTTCTGGCTCTTGAGTTAATGTGGAAGTGTAGAGGGGGAGTGTAATATTTCTCTATCTGACCTAAACAATAAGTGCAGTCCCAAGACATGTTTGTTTGGAGTATTATAGAGTCTTGCTAATACTCTTTTTTTTTTTTTTTTGTTAGCATAACAGTAGGAAGAAAGAAAGAATTAAATTTGGAAGAAATTAAGGTATTCTCTGATTATCCCCTCAATCCTTTCAAAAAATTACCAGTTGTTGGTGACTAATTTTTTGCCAACCTCAGATGTGATAAATGGCGACACACTGAAAATTGCATAAAACAGCAACAAAATTAATGAAATTAAAAGTGCAAGAAACATCCATAATAAAACACTTACTTCCCCCCTTCTCCCATATACACATTGGTCTGTTTGAACTTAAAAGACATTAGAGTGTTACACAATTTAAAAAGAAAAAAAAAAAAAAAAACCTCTTTTGATGCACTAATCAACAGAAGCAACAACCAGATAAAAGACTGTTGAATCATAGAACTTGAAATGATTTAGCTGGTTAAATTTCAGGAGCTGAATTTAGTACTGGCGTAATACTCACATAATCATTCATGTGTTTCCAGATAAGTGCATTTTGTAAAATTTAAGATTGCTTACTTTGGCAACATAGTGATTCTTCTGAATTTGGGGCCAATAATCAGAGGATTGAAATTAATTTCAGTTAAATAGCAAATTGCATTTTTCCTTAACTGATTATTGTCCAGCTTATTATTTTTTGTGGGCTGTTATTATTCTAGCTGTTATCAAAATTTTGAATTTTTGATTACATCAAAATATTGAATTTTCAATCAAATCCATTTTGGAGCTGTAGCAGAATCTGCAAAACAAAAGCATATTTAGTACTTGGGGCAAAAAAAGGGCGCTGGTATAGTTCTGGCATAAGAAAGTATGATTCCAAAAGTAGACAAAACAGACACCTTATTTTGGTATAGATTTTTAAATGCTATAGAAGGCGAAGCTTTCCAGTTAATGGAATTTGTGAAAAAATGTTGAAAAGGGATAATAAATATAGATGATACAACTGAAGTTTGAGAAAATGCCCCAATCATCAATCAAGTAACAGATGGTGAAATCTGTAGTATAGTTTTAAATCAGAAAATATCACTACCAACAGAGAAGAAAGTTTATAAAGAAATTTTTTAGAATAAAAAGATTTGATTGACAGTTCAGTAGTAATTTTCAACATGGCTGTTTCTGGACTTTGTAACTGTACAAGAAATTATGTCTGTCTATAAAATTAAAGGAAAAGAATTCGCACAAAAAAAGAAGCATTGAAAGAAATATTTAACAAAACGAATAAATATCGAGTATTTTTTCTTTTCTTTTGATTTTTTTAAAGTTGTAAATTGTTCATTATTTCATAAAAATTGTTTTATATTTTTAATTTATCTATACATGCCGTCTGACTTGATTTAAATTAATGATCTAAAATTGAGAATTGCTGAAGTCCCAATGTGTGTGGATCTTGGATGTCATACTGTATAGATAAAAACAGCTAAGGCTGAAATTCTAACCTATTGTAAAGTTTTAGATGTTTATATTTTAGCTATTTTATTACATTTCTATGAATGGTGCTATGAATAATTGGAATGTAATATATTAATTATTGTTAGTAAATTGGTAATCTAGATTGCCAATTTGGAAAAAAACTAATCTTTATTGCAACAGTGTACAACACAAAGACTTGTTTTCTTATACTGTAACTGTACTTATATTGCATAATTTTTTTTAGAAAGCTATCATACAATTTCTAAACATAATATTTAAAAATCATTACAATTGAATTTAGTCATGGACTTATTTCTTATGCTTAATTAAAACCAACATAATTTTCTGCTGTGTTCAGAATGGACCGAAAGTCAGGAGACTTAAAAATATTCTTAACAAATGAATGATTTACCATTTGAGAGTGGGATTTATACCAAATTTGTGCCATGAATTAGATTTTTTTCTGTCAGTAGTAATAATAATAATAAGACAATAACAACAACAAGTTTGAAATTTTATGAACAGGATGGCAATGCACTATTATCCTACTCTTTAAATGACGTTTAATGCTGCAAGCTGCTGAGCATGCATCTTGAACTATGTTCAAACTGTTAAGTTGTAGGTTCAGACAGTTAAGGTGTCAGGTAAGGGTGTAGGGTTAAGAAAAGGAGGAGGAATTCAAGGTGCAAAGTGAGAAAGTCATTTTGGAATTATAATCAAGAAAATACCACTTATTTATGACATTCTAGAGAACTTTAGGGTTTCAAAGTCGAACCTGTGGTCATTTGGAGGATTAAATAAAAGAAGCATGCTGAAATGTCATTCAGTTGCTTGGTTAAAGAATGTTTCCGTTACCATGTGTTTAGCTGTCTCCCAACACAGAAAATCATGTTCTACAAGCATGTGAATATATCATTCATTAATGCATTGAGCATATATTTGGATCTATAGAAGCAACATCATAGTAAACAGTCTCTTTTAATTGCAATAAAGATGTTTCTGTGCTGATGTACACCTGATTGAAATAGTTCCATCACCAAAAATTCATCGGTAAGTCCCATGACTTAGGAGATCAGGAGATACTAGTAAGTCACAAAAGGCTATGTCTCTTATAAGGCTACTGTGTAAGGGATGCATCATCTGGCATGAGTCTTTATGAAATTTCATTCCCATAAACATAGTAGCATGGCCTTACACATCTGGACCAGGTTTTTTAACAATTTATTATGTTAGCTTTTTAAGAAAGAATTGGCTAGTAATGATGGATATAATGCAACTGCACAAATGAGTTGTAGCTCCTGTATATTTATACAGGATAGTATTTTGCCCATATATTCAGTGGTATTAATAGTTCTGTGCAGTGAAAAGTGTGTTTTATCTGTCCAAAGGATCTTCATAATCTGTAAATGGATCATCAGCAACTTTTGTCCATGCTTATATATAGCAAATTTCTCCTGCTTGTAGATAAAACTGATGCAGAAATTGCTGCAATTTTGATAAATTTGGTAGACTCGTGATTTTCGACTTTTCCAAGCACTACTGATATCACTGATTGATTGTGCTACTAGGGTGCTGTATTTATACTGCTAATATAATTACGGCTGCATCATTATACCAGTTCTATAATGTTGAGGGCTCTACTGGTGGCTGTGTGTTTAAGACCACTGAATGCTGGTAATATGGGCTGAATGCATGGTTGGTTTTAATGCTTTTCCCCATGGGTAATGGGAATGACATATTTAAATAACCTAACTTAATTATTGGTTTAATTTCAACCAATGTTACTCCCAGTTTTTCAAAACAGCACAACACTTGTTAATACTGTCAAATTTATTGGGTCTCTGCATGTTTTTCTCTGTTAATGTGTGTAAAATTGCCATAAAGTTTAGATGGCCAGTTCCTTGCTCACTAGTAGTTACCTTGTCAACCAAACCCAATTTAATAATAGTTTGACATTAAAGTTCTGTGAACATAAACTCATTCAAAAAATTGAAATTAAAAAATGGACAGCTTTTTTTAAATGTAATCTTATCTGTATTCCTATGATGCAGTGCCATCTGTCAGTAAAGTTTTGAAAAGAAATTTTTTGTTGCATATAAAGATTCAAATATATTGTATGCATTCACATACAGTAGACACTGCTTGGATGTGACCACATTTGTCCATGATTATTTTGTACCCAAATGATAATATTAAGTAATGAGAATTTTTTTCAAAATATCAATGGGATTTAACTAATTTAATACAAATATAACTAGAGACATATAATACTTACATTCATAATATTTTAATTGGGGGAAAGTCATTAACACTTAATTACACAAAAGTTCATTTCTTGAACTGTTCTTAAAGTTTCTGGAAGTTATTTGCTTAGTGCTGTTCTCCTAATCTTAGCAGATCTTAACAGGTTTTTCTTGCCAAACTCTCACCATATAACAGGTGACTTTTTGCAGCTATCATGCAAAATTTTTGCAGTTATCATGCAAAAATTACTTTTGCTTCGGGGCAAAACCATTATACATTAAAGAGTTAGAAAAATAAAACCGTTTCCTCAAAAATAAAAAATTCAGTAATGTCTGATATCTTTCAAAGTTCTTTTCTTTATACAATGGTACATTGCAAAACATACACATATACTGCATTACACTATGTATTTTTTTGACGGTGCACATATAACATTGCTGTAAAGTATTTTTCTTTTTTCTAATTCCAATGATGGGTTCTAACATATATTTTCTCATGTCTATGGAAAGTCTCCCTGGAGAATCGTACTTTGTTGTTTTCTTTCTAATGCAGGGTGTTGATGGACGCTTCCGGAGATCAGTGGCGTAGCTAGGGTGGGGCGAGGGGGACATCTGTTCCCGGGCGCAGCATCCAAGGGGTGCCAATTTGGTGTGATGAAATTGCAGAATGACATATTTTCCATTCTTGGCACATAGAAAGGGGTGAAAAATCTTCAGTTGTCCCCGGGCGCTGAAAATCCTAGCTACACTTCTGCCGGAGATTAGCAAAAAGAAACTGGCACATTACAGCTCAGCTAGTAGTGAAAGATTTTCTTGCTGCTGCAGGACAACAGATCTTCCAAAAAATTGTAACCAAATGTTTGGGAGAATGAGGACTATATGTCCCGTTGTTCAGATCACACCATACCGCCCGTCTGCAATCATGTCATAAGCATCGCATTTGGACTGAGCAGGACTGGGCTTCCGTAATATTCTCAGATGAGAGTAGCTGCAGTCTGTTATTAATTTGTAGATGTGAAATGATCTGGCATGAGAGTGGTACTGCTTAACATTGAGAAAATATTCAGGAATCTGAGTTGCAGTATCATAGTATGGGCCAGCTTATAATCAATGACTGCACACTCCTGTATGTGTTTGCAACTGGAACTGTGATTGGCCAACTTAAAAACGTTGATGCAGTTTTACTGCTTCATGTTTTCCTTTTCCATGGGGCTTTCGATGATAAATTTCATATTTTAGTGTAGTGTTTTATTCACTACACTATCTAGAATGTTTTCTGTATTTATTCCTGAGTAACCTAAAAACTCTTCCAAAATTGGTCTATTGTTTACTGATGACCATTCTTCTTAAGAATTAGAATCATCTGAATCCAGGCTAGAATCAAAACTGCTTGAAATTCTTGGTCGGGAAAAAGCTCTTGGAGCCCATATAATTTCATTGTAGCTAGAATGATCATTGACAAGCTTGTTATCATATGAATATTTTAACAAACTATCTGCACACAATTCTTCATCACATTCTATTCTATCATGGCCCGCTTTTAGGAATTTACTGTAAAAAAGTTGAGTTATTGTAAAAAAAAATCATTTTCATTCATTCAAAAAAAAAAAAAAAAAAAAAACCACTGATAACAATAATCCACCAGTAATTCAAAGAAAATTAATTTGTTGTCCCCTGAACCTTAATAACAATCTGCACAAAACAAATTTAGTCATTTTCCACTTAATATGTGTTAGTACTGATAAGGCATCCCTAATCTCAACATTTGTAGAAAATCCTCTGTCAGATATTTTCTTCTGTGATTGAATCTGCATCTGAAGGCTTTTCGTCAATATCCATCCAAGCATTAAATTCATCATAATTCATCTTAGATGAAGATGCCTTTAATTCTTCATGTACATTTATTTTATTATTTAATGAAAGGTTAGCATGCTTAAAACAGTTTTTTTTTTTTTTTTTTTTTCCTTTTTTGAGATGTATTTCCAAGACTTGGCTTAAATCTTGACTTGGCTTTAATTCCAAGACTTAAATCAAATCGGCGACTTAATCTCTTACTTGGTACCATAACTCTGCCATTCGGCTATCTCTTTGCCCTTTTTGACACTATTTGATGATTTTGATCTTTTATTTAGCATGATTAATTCAGTTTAAAAAATTCATTCTATAACATTTTGATAACATTACAAACTTGTTGATCAGAGTAAGCATTTTATTTCCTTTGTTTTCGTATACAAATGTTGAGGCTTTTCAATTTGATAACAATATCGAAGAATAACATTAACCACGATTACATTAAGTGATGCCTACTGTAATGTAGACCACTTGCTTGTGCAACTCACTTATTTATTATGAATTTTTAATGAAAAATAGTAGCTCTGTGGACTGCTTCTATTATGTTTATGCACGAGTTTAACTTATTATGATTCAGTAAATAAAATTAATTGGAACTCTAAAATTGTCATGAGTATGCTTGTAAAATACATATTATCTTGAGAATTGTATTATCTAAACAGCGCTGTGTCTAACTTATCAGATGAAGTATAGTACAGTACAGAAGATGAACTATATAGATTTCTGTATATAATTTCTGAATTTTAATTTCTCTTAACTTTCGGAAAATATAAAAAGATTATGAATACTTTTATCTTTCTGTTTTTAAGGGCGGGCAGATGGCAAGACAGCAGTCTTAGTTGGTATAGATTTTGAATAAAACTTCATCAGTTTTGAGGATGATCATACATAAGCCCCTCATGTTGAGGAGCAAAAATGTTTTAAATGTAATCTTGGAATTTTTTTTTTTTTTCCTCCTTCTCAAGAAGAGGAACTTGTGTCTGATTGCCCTTGAAATCAATAGATTTTTATTTAAAATCTCTGCCAAACTAACTTTGATATTTTGCTTTATTTTAAATTTTACACTGTCACGTTTTTTATCCAGTTTGAGATTTGATGTATTTGAGATAATTTTTTTTAAATTGACTTCTTGATTTTTATGTCTAATATTTTAGAACTCATTACTTACTTGTATGTGGCCATTACCCAGTTTATTCTATTGGATCTCATGGAAATACTAACTGTCTTGTAAAGTATCTAAAACCTCTTCTTGAGAAGTATAATGTTTCTGCTTATTTAAGTGGGCATGAACATAATATGCAGGTAAAGTACTTTTCTCTAAGCATTTTCTTTAATAATGTTATTATGTATTCTGGATGATACCATTACACTGGCTTAACCCATTAACCACTTGCACTACGACTAAACTTCACGGTTGCGGTACCATGTGCTACAACATAACAAGCGGTAAAGTTTCTCATTTATGCCGCTTCGTGTCTGCGAGTGCAATCCACAGCTGTAACTCGAGAAATAAGCAATCTTGTTGTTAGGCGATGTGTGCACCATGTTATTTTCACTTTTGCGATAAATCCCTATCGACGTGGTGTTCACGTTGCTCGTGGTTTGAGACAAAAGCATCTCGACGTGCGTCGCACGTCTTTTTAGCGCAAGTGCTTAACTGCCAAAACTACGAGGAATGGTTCTTTTCTCATGAAAATAATAACAAATATTAAATTAAGCATTTATAACATAAATTTACATTGAAAATTTTAAAAAAAAAGTCTTACCTGTGGAAAAAGCAAGTGTTACGTTAGCGCAACGTCAGCGGAATAAGACAACAGATGCTTAGTCAGTAAGATTGTACTTGTGCGATGTTTCCTTTGAGTGGAGCACTGGATTACTTTTTAGCTGTATAACGTTTTATAAATCTACAAGTCACTTTAATTAATTTAATATTAAAATATATATTATATTTCTTTTACAAATACAGATTATTTCAATTGAAAGATTTAAGCATGAAAAGCTTCATTACAATCATGATGTAAAGCTACATTACATACTTTTCATTTACAAACAGTCTGGCTATTGCACTCTTTACAACGAAGTCTTTTGTTATCATCAGACTTTACAATAAATGTCTATCATCTCCATGCAATGGTTTTTTAATGCTGAATTTACCAGGTCTTCCCGTTGCTGATCTATTCCTGGCTAATTCTACACTCTCAATAGGAGTTAACAAAACTAATAATGCAATTTCGCATCTGAAATCTAAAAGAGACTTTTTATTTTCAATAGTAGAAAGTCAAGATATTTTCCATGCATTTATCAAGGCTACATCAATGTAATTAGTAAATATTGGCCACCACCATTTTTTGCCACAAACTCTTATTTTGTAATTGCCTACTAAATTGTCACATACATCAACTCCGCCCATTTTGGCATTGTATTGTTCAATAAGATGACGCTGAGGTATAAAAACCTTTTTCCTTTGCATTTTTGAATAATGGGAAACATTTTTTATGGACTGAATGTTTCCAAATGCTGAAGAACCAACAGTTACAACCGAATTGTTGTTCCATCGGACAAAAATTATTTTGTTTTTCTCTTCATACTGGAAATCATAATAACCCCTATCTTTCGTATGGACACATTTCACAGTTTCTAGTGGGCACATTTGTATGCGGTTTTCCTGAATTGTTCCTGTAGCACTGAAACCTTTATTTTTTAGATTGCAGAGAAGCTGAAATGATGTAAAAAAGTTATTAAAATAAATAACAAGTTTGGCAGGATTTTCAACAACACTGAGCAAATTTATCGCCACACTTCTCCCCAGCCCAAATTCTTCATATTCTGGTAATTTTGGAGCTGTTAACTTACCTGAATAAATATCGAAATGAAACACATATCCATCATATGACACCAGAGTCCATGCTTTGTATCCAGATCTTAATAGGTTTCCCTTTTAAAAACATTTTTACTGAATATTTGCCTCGATAAGGAATCATTTGCTCGTCAATATCCATATTGTGGGAAAATATACCAAATTGTTGGAATTTCTTATTTAGTAAGTTTAGATATGGTCTCACCTAATATAATTTATCAGTATTGTGAATTTGACTATTGTTAGCTAAATGCAAATTCTGCTTCATATTTCTGTACTGCAAACGGGACATCAATTCTCGTACAATAGGAACAGAAATGTCCTTATCAAGAGACCAATACATTTCTTCTTGAGGTAAAGAATGATATCCTGTAAGCAATAATATTTTAATAAATCTTCTCATATGCTTCAGTTGCAATAAATTCTGGGTGATTTTTTTGCTGAGCATATATATTTGTCTGTTCAACAAGAAGAGAGTAAATGCCTGAACCAAAAAGAAAATCTAAAATCTCTCCACTAGTTTTACCTTGTATTTTGTCTTTTATACTTTCTCTTCTATCTTTTTCTTCATTTTCTTCCTGAGACATAACTGATATTTCCTTTTTAAATCCATTTCAAGTTTTCAGTTTTCTGCTTTTTAAACTTTTTTATGATTATCACTGCTTTTAAAAGGCAGAAACTTACTTCTTAAGTGAATTTAAATTTCCCCAGCAGTATCATTTGGTAAAATATCATTAATTTAAAACATTGTCATTCCCTTCTTCTTCATCACTAGCTTCTGCAGTTTCTGGGGGAACAACAATGATATCAGTTTCATTCTGGTCATTATTAACATAATCATCATCTGTTTCTTCATCAAAAAATCTTTGAAGGGCTTCTTCTAATGTAAGATAAATAATGTTCTAGGCATTTTTAAAGCACCCAGAACATGAACCAGAACATCGAAAGGAATGAGTAAAAAAGGCGATTACCCGTTTCCTGCTGACATTGCACTAAGCGCAACACCTGTGTTCCCTTCCTTCCAAACACAAATATAAACATCTGATTAATGTAATGTTCTGATAAATGGTGACCTTGACTAAAAATAGATCACTCATAAAGACGGTGATTTTTCATTAAATATTTTTGGTAAAAATACCCGGTCAAAAATTTTGCTGAAAGTATAAGATTAATTATTATAAACAAAATGATTGTTGGAGGCAAATATTTTTTTACAGAAATAATCTTCATAATATTCCCTACACAAAATTATCTGCTGGTATAAAATATCTTAGATAGTTATATTTATATATGCATTTATTTTGACCATTGCGTCAACACAACTCCAGTGGCTAATGGGTTAAGGATTTCATTTTAAGAATAAGTAGTTATGCAGTTTTCAGCTAATTTTGATTTTTGCCTTAGAATGATGAATAGAAATTATAACAAATAATAAATTCAGGTAATAACGAAAACATGAAAAACCACGTGAAACCCATTTCATATAATTTTACAAAAGATATTTAAAACAAAAACTAATATATATATATATATATATATATATATATAACAAAATGTTTATACGTAAAAAAACAAATTTAAAGTTAAAATAATGTGCAATCATATAAAAGATTTGATTTTCGAACTAATCTACAATATCATTTAAATTCAGATAGCATAAGTAAATCAAGTGCAAAAACAAACCATGAAAATAAATTCATCAATTTAGCAAATTAAAATTAAAATTAATCTAAAAAATTTTTTTTAAAAATGCTTAAGTGAATGACTGTTGAGCAGGCAGGAGACGGACTTATCAAGGGGAAGTTGCCTCCAAACCTAACTTTTCAATCATTCAATTCGTGTTTCGTCATTCATGTAAGCTAAGTTAAAACCAAAGTTTTACTAAGTTAAAACCAAAAGTAAAAACATAGTGAAGAATGTCCAAAAAGAAAGCAATTAAAAATTAAAGGTCTAAAAGGAAAATACCAATAATGAAGTATTTTGAGAAATAAGCATGTAAAGTTTAGTATTAAATAAATTTTTTTTAAAAATTAAATTTTCCGAAAAATTAATTTAGAAATCAAGCATTTTAGAAACCTGTCTACAGAAAACCTCTCGACACGAATATGCATATTAATGAAAAAGAAAACAAAAAGTAACTAGACAAATTAATATAAAACCAATAAGAAACTAAGAATTAATCATAATTTATAAAAAACAAACATAAACTTAAAAATAAAATATTTTTTATACAAAAGATATTTATTTTGTGAGAATTTAATTCTTTCAGTAGAAGTGTGGTGGGGACTTTTGTTTGTATATATCTAAATTTCTGTATTTTTCTTTTATGTATTTCATTATTTAAGGTTTCTCTAATTTTGGGATATCTGTGTGCATAACGACATATATATATATATATATATATAAACTAGTTTGCAAAAGTATGTATATATAATATTTAAAACTTGCTAAAGTTTATGAATAGCCTCTATAAAACTGAAAGTATTCTTTCTAAAATTGCGATTCTAAATAATTAGTGACTTTTGGAAGTTTCTTGAGCTTTTGGTTTGTAAATTTTAAAATAGTCTGAGAAAACACCGAAAATCTCCCTCTCCTTTATTCCTTTCACAAAAATCTCATTTATATAAATCTTGCTGTATTAACAAATGAGACTGAAACATGACTCTGAAGTATAATACTGTAACACTAGGAAAAGCTTGCAATTTCACTGAGTCTTTTGACATCTGATCTTAATCATTTTCAGTGTATATATGTAAGACTTTTTTATTCCCGTATAATTCTATATTTAACTTAATTCACGGAATTTTCCCCCTTTATTGGAGGATGTTTGAGAAAGTGTTCAGTAACACATGAGCTGCATTTTTTTTCTTTCTGTATTAAATTCAATTCCTTTTGAGCTGTAATCAAAGTTATATCACAGAAAACATTCTGGTTTTCTAAATAAAACTTTTGTCAAATTAAGATAAATAGCATGCAAACAGGAGGGGGGGGAGAAGAAATGAGAAAGGTCCAAAAAGAATTTATTTTGATGGTAATAATATCAGTTTAATCATCAAGGTCATATAGGTAGAATTAGTTAACTGCAGCTACTCTATTTATTAACTATTCAAATACAGATGTTACAACCAGCAGGATTATGAGCTTTTTGTTCTGTATAAAGTAATTGTAATTATTTTGAATTTTTTTTTAAACTGTAAAAGTAATTCATAACTAAAATTAATGAATATTTAAATTCAGCTGCAGTTTATTAATTTTCTTTGCACTTTTTTATATTTTAATGCGGCATGTTTAGCGAGAAATGCCATAACATATATACTCTTAAGTTATATATTTATCTAAATTTTCAGTCACTGTAAATCTCATTATGTGTAATAAATCATATTCTATTTTTCCTCCTCAGCATATACAAGTACAGGATATTGATTATATTATCAGTGGCTCTGCTAACTTCATTGATCCTTCTAAGAAACATATTGATGAAATTCCACCTAAAAGTCTTCTTTTCCATTGGGGTAATCCTTTTTCTCTGGGTGCTTTTGCTTATATTGCTATTAATGAAAAAAATATGTCATTTACATTTTTGAAATCATCTGGAAAGATTCTTTATTCTTACTCAAAATCTCCTCGACCCTACCTACAGTAGATAATTTAATAATGACAAATAACAAGCTTATTTATTTAGTAAAATTTATTGCATATATATAGTTTATTTTTAAATATAGTAATAGAAAAAATAAAGGTGTACTACCTAACAAAAAGCTTGGAATGAATAAAAATAGTTTTAATTATTTTTTACTTACAGTTAACATTGCAAATGGAAATATCTGAAGAAATTTTTGTTCTAATTTTACCTTACTGATATTATGGAGAACTTGTAATAGAGAGTATAAATCAGTAATGCTCAACTTTTAACTTAATGCAAGCCAATTTAGAATTTAAAAAATTTTGATGAGCCACAATTATGTATTCCACCTTTAATATTTCAATTATAAATGTGTATAATGCACAGACTACAAAAATATGTTGCATAACATATTTTAAAATAATTTTAAAATAAATTTTAAAGGAAAAGTTTAATTATGTACGCTTTATAATAACATTTGTTAAAAATTCAGTGAGATACAAATTAAGTACAGAAAAAGCATATTTTAATGTAAAACCTGATACTGCATATCTTCTGTGAGTTTAATGCACTGTGGTATATATAATGAATGTTATGGCTAAATACATGCAGTCATTCAGATGTTTGTTATCCTGGAGCTAAATTTTGATTTTTAACAAGTTCAATGTTGAAGAACCATTTTTATAAAGTTAAATTGATCCAAAGTAGAAGTTTAACCTTTGAAAAATTTCTTTTAAGTGTGGATATTTTTTCTCATCTGCAAGCATCCAAGAATATTTCTGTGATATTATTATTTTTAACTGTAGATGAGATTGAAAATCAATTATTTCCATTACTAGATAAGAAGAATTTTTATTTTTATTTAATCTCTTACAATATTTCAAAAATACTGACATTAGCAAATGGATTTGAAATTAATAAGGCAGCAGGCTTAATTTTACAAAAATTGAAATTTTTTAAAATAATGTTTAAGCTAAACAAGATTTTCAGAATATTTGTTTCAATTTTCTTATATTTTTTATGTAGTTCTACAAATTTATAAAGTGGCAAAAGTTACATTCCTTTATCTAACTCCCCCTCCCCTTTCTTTCAAGTTTTGATTTATTCATTTTGGTTATGTCTGTAAGAAAAGCTAAATTAGATAACCAGCTATGATCCTCTTCATCGGTCTTGTTTCTGGGCTCTAAAAACTATTTTATTCCTGGAAAAAGTCCCTCAGGGGCTCTCTTTGTGGGTACGGGTGTGGCAATCCCAAGGTACCCTAGCCCTTCAGGGGATCATCTTGATGAGATGAGTGTCATGATCCTAGCATCCCAGTTATCTATTCTCTTCTCTGTCTCATCTCCTCTTAGCTGAAACTTCTTTCTTTTCATTCTTGTGGTTTTCCTCTTCGGAGGTTGGAGGCCCACCAGCGGCCGAGCGGTAAAGTCGCTGAACACTGGTAGTTCGGTCCGAGGTTCGAATCCCGCGAACGGGCTGGCTACATGAGTGTTTTCGTGGTTTTCCTCATGTGTAACGTGTATACGAGCCAGTTTCCCTTAGAAAGTCCTCCACGAAGGCGTCCCTCCTCTTAGGCAGATAGCCCTCGAGGCTTTGCCGTAATTAAATAACCTAACCTAACCTTCGGAGGTTGGAACTCATTATGAGGATCTGGAACAGCCCTTGTCTCTAGTTTTCGAGTGGCAAGAAAACTGCTCACATGTTTGTTGCGCATGGAGACTCGTATTGCTGGAAAAGAGGGTTCTGGTAGTTGAGGTGTGAAGTACTGTCTCTAACACACTGCTTTGGCCTCTGCTTCAGCTAAATGGGTGCCACCTTGTCTTCCTCATGAGTGTCAATTGGCTGGTCCTGTGTCAGTGGCTTGGGGATAAACATTGATACCATTCTTCTGAAAACATCTATTCGTAAAGCCTCTGTTAGAAGAAATCACCTTTTCTCTATCTTTTTTGACATCGAAAAATCTTATGATGAGGCATGGAGATATGGGATACTTCGTTATCTTCATGACAATGGATTGTGTGGTAACCTATCAGTTTTCATTCAGAATTTTTTTTAAGGCTAGAGCTTTTCAAGTAAGGATTGGCTCTGTCAGACATTTTCAAACAGGAAGAAGTTCTGCTCACAAGGCTGTGTCCTGAGTTTTACTGTTTTCAATCTAAAAATAAACTGTGTATTAAAGGAACTTCATTCCACCATTTTAAGATCTTTATATGTTGATGACTTTATATAAGCTGTCGAGGGGCAGATATGAAACATGTCGAGAGGGAATTACAGGTCACTTTGAATAAAATCCAGGTTTGGTCAGATAAACAAGGATTTACCTTTTTGAAACAGAAGATAGTGTGCATGCACTTTTGTAAAAAGCAAGGTCTCCATCCTGAGGCTGAGTGATATCTTAATGGTTCAATGATTCCAGTTGCTCATGAAGTGAAGTGTCTAGGGGTGGTGTTCGACCAAAAACTGACCTTCCTTTCTCATGTCTCAGCGTGAGAAAGAAGTGTATGAAAACATTAAATATTTCAAAAGTCCTGACAAACACCTCGTGGGATGCATAGCATTGCTCCAGGCTTTGCATTTATAGAGCACTTGTCCACTCTAGACTGTGCTATGACTCAATTGCTTATGGATCCACTCGGTCTTCAATCTTGTTAAAATTAGATCCTGTTCATCATCAGACTCTGCAGATTTGTACCGGAGCTTTCAGGACTTCTGTCCAGAGCCTTTATGTTGACTCTTATGAACCATCTCTCCATCTGACATATGATCAGTTGTCTATCTTGCAGTATTTTAATATAGTGTCTCAATCTTAGTAAGCTATGTTTAACTGATGACATGTGCGATCTTCTATTTGAAGCAAGTCCATCAGTGTGCCTTCTTTCTCTTTAAGAGTTTGCTTTGTAGCTGAGGAACTCTTACCTGGCCGATGTATCCCCCCAAGCAGTACAGCATTTTGAAATCCCACCTTGTAAAGATGCAGAAATCCAGTTTCTTGATGTTTTCCACCATCACATGAAAACAAACACTAGCAAAATCGTCTACAGACAACTTTTTGCTGAGCATAGACATAGGTTTAGCAGTTATGTTCCTGTATATACAGATGGATCTAAGTCAACTGGTCATGTTTGGATAGCATTTGTAACTGGTGATCATGCTGGGCAGAAGTTTGCACCATGCTTCTTCAGTATGAACATCTGAACTAACTTCTATATGTTATGCATTTTATATATCAAAGCTATGCCAGAAAAAGTTCATATTTTATACAGACTTGCACAGTGCATTGAAAGCTTTATAAACATTTTCTGACACTAAACATCCAGTAGTCGTTGAAGTTCTAAAGTTAAATTCAAACTTTGCTAGGCTCCTGACCATGTTGGAATCAATGGAAATGAGCTCACAGATATTACAGCTAAATCTGCTGTTGATCTTTGTGGCCAGTATGTTCCACTTACAGATATCCAGAAGGTTACCTGTGAAAAAGTCCTAGTATGGGATTATCAGGTCAATAACAAACTTAAAAATATGAAACCTGTAGTAGAATACTGGGAATCAATTAGAAACCAGATTGAGGAAGTTATATTAATTTGTCTTTATATTGGTCACTCGTGAATCACGTGAAGACATGGTCCAATGTCACTGCATCATTCTTTACGGGACTTATTTTCATTGTGGAACTGCACAGCAGTGCATTACAGATTCCTTCTATCACAGTTAAACTTTATGCAGCACTTTTAAGAGACATCATACTCTCCTTGCAAGAGAGACAAGTGCTATATAATGTAACATTAATGTGAGATGGAACACTTCTGCACATATCCTATCCATCACCTTGTACAATTGACATTTGTTATGACCATGTTTTTTAGTTGTTCTTTCTGACAAAAATGCTACCAAAATCTTCAGATCTTAAATTTGTGACATTGGTTATGAGGCTAATTGAAATCAAGATGTACAGATTTTGGCTGATGCTATTGGAATATAAAAGAAGTTATTCGGCATCGTGTGACCAAAACCTTTTTGATGCTGTGTAGTGTTATGCGACATTTGATGGCCATCTGTTATACCAGTCATCGCATTGAACATTTCAATCTTGAGTGAATTTTGAACTGTGCTGCACTGTTGAATTAACTTCTGATGCAATAGAAGCACCATCTCTAAAAAATGAAACATTTATGATAATAAAAATCGTTCATTGTAAAAGAAAATTCATATGTCTTTCTACATTTCTACGAAAGCTGTGTTGTACAAGGAATGTTTTTTAAGTAAGGGCTGTTTGAAAATAAAAATCAAACAAAAGAAAATTTTCAAAAACCAAATTTATTTTCAAATTCTACATATGTTTCTCTATTTTTCAACACAGTTGCCAAGTTTGTTTAAACACATGTCATGCCTTAGAACTAAGTTTTGAATACCCTCTTCATAGAAATTTGCCACCGGCACCAATGGCCGAGAGGTCACTGCCGTTTTCATGTCCTAGACTAGACACTTGAGGAAATTAGTTTGAAAGAGTTCTTATGATGAAGTGTCTGTTCTCAATTTTCAATTCAGTCGAAACCACCATAGGGGATTTCAATTGAAGCCACCGTCTGTGATCACAAATGGGCAACTGGAGCGGAACTCATTATGGACGTCGTCACGGCCAGTTTTAAAGTCTTTGACCCATTTGCTCACTTTGCTTTCATTTATGACAGTAGCTCCATAAACTGCACAAATCTGCAAGTGAATGTCTGTAGAAGGCAGGTTTCTTGCCAACAAAAAACGTATTACTGACCATACCTCGAACAGGGCAGACGATTCAATAAGCTTGAACATTTAGCTGAAGATACAGAACAGACTGTACAGGTTCCTACACAGCTGCAACTGAGCACAGTTGTTTGCAAGGAATGCCAGGAC